AGGGAGGGAGGGAGGAAGGAAAGAAGGAAGGGAGGGAGGGAGGAAGGGAGAAAGGGAGGGAGAAAGGAAAGGAGGGAGGGAGGGGGAGAGAGAGGAAGGAAGGAAGGAAGGAAGGAGACCTCTAAAGCAACCCAACCTGAAGCTCCCTGAATTCACACTTGTCTCCACGTGCAGAAGGGCCTGTCTCACTCCTAGTTGCCTTCTCCCTACCCCTTGCATTCTGGCTTCAAGCAGAAACCAGTTAGATTGGCCAGCTGTTCTGAGATACGCCACAACCCCACACTCAAGAGCACCCACCCCCAGGAAACACATACAGTGGAGTTGCTCCTGGTGACCTTCCCAGAGGGCAGAGAAAGTGTATGCACACACAGCACATGTATATGCATATTTTGCATATTTGACATATTTGACGGGAGGAGGTGTGGTGTGAGCCAGTGGAACCTGAGACCAACAGAGGGAGAGTCTGGAGCTCACATCCAGTCACACCAACGCTGCTGAGCAGTCTGCTCTTGCCACTGCAGAGTGTAAAGGTGGCTTTGAGTAGGTGTGACTGGCGGCCCACATGTCTTTCCCACTTCTGAGACTTTACCTGACTCAAGAAGGTGACCTTGGGAAGGGCTCTGAGTCATAGATGAGGAGGGAGTGGAGCTGGGGTGGGGATTTTGAGCCACCCTTGCCCTCTGCCTGTCCAGGTGTTCTTGTCTTCTGCTCCCTCCCTCCTCAGGCTCTGCAGGCCTCACTTGCACTTGGCGCTTGCTTTCCCCCACTCTCCAATAGTTCTTGGTGAGCAACAGGCTTAGCACATTTATGTAGATGAGAAGACAGACAGGCAGGAATCTCACACCAACAGAAGCTGGGGGTGTGTCTGCAACAGGAGTGAGCCCAAAGCTGGCTGGTGAGTTGGGGTTTTCCACAGGGTGCCTGGTCTCCAGTCTCTCATCCAGGCCTCTCTTGGCCTGTGTGACAAAGATCTATCCAAGAGTCCCACTGTACTCTCCAGCCCCGAAGGCCAAGAGAGGCCACATGTTCTGGGCCAGGCTTGGCTTTTCCTTCCTTACCCTGAGGAGTCAATTCAGGGGATCATCAGGGAGGTTGACAACCCACCCTCCCCCAGGTCTCCTTTTGTCCAGTGTGAGGGAAGCATTTGGAAAGTCATCAGGCTGCTGCTACTAGATGGAGTGGCAGAAAGGGAGCCGCTTGCAGAGCTGGGATCAGCTGAGGTTTCTGTCTATTGAGTCGTCCTCACATGCAAAAAGGAGGGGTCACTGAACTCAGGACACAAACCTGGAATGTTGATTATCAGGGTTACTGATGCCACTTGGAGCGGTTGGAGAGAAAAGGGGAAGGTGGAGCCTGCTTTCTCTCTAAGCACCAGATTTCTGTTGGGGAGCCCTCAGGGAGAGATGGCGCTTTTGCTGTGCCTCCTCTTTCTGGCTTGTCTTTTCCTATTCTGAAACCACAGTGAAGATCTCTAATATATTAATAATTCCCAGCCCTATCTATTTCCTAGCTCCTGCTAATTCTAGGACTCCTGAGGTCTCTCCGACCATGTCACGTGGTAGCTGGACAGGATGTGGGTTCTTATCTCCTTACTGTAGGGATAGAAAGGTCCTGGGAGATGGCCCAGCCTGGGTCTGCTGGTCCCAGTACCAGCTGTCACTCTTGCCTGTCATTGAATTGCTTCTGCTCCAGGTCAGGCACCAGGAGGACTCTGGAATCATGGACTGACTTTTTGCCTCAGTTTCCCCTCTGCTCTCCTACTCCTGCTGCAGCCTGGCCTTCTGGGGACCGGATCAGTGCAGCTGGATTCTGGCCAGGTGGGCCAAACCCTGCTCAGATCAAGTAAATCTCAGAAATGCATCCAGGAGGGGAAGCCTTCTGAGCCTGTGGCCGCAGAAAGAGGGCCGCCCCCAGCCCCCAATAGACCCTTCTTCCCTCCCCCTCTTTAAACTGCTCACCCCCAGCGTGGAGCATGGCCACCATGAGGGCAGGAAGCCATGAGGTCTCACTGTTGCTGGCCTGGAAGTCGCGCTGCAGATCAGTGAAGAAGACCCCCATGCATGAAGGGAAGCCCACGGTGAGGCCCTGGGCCACCAGGGACGCCAGCAGGACTACCCAGGCCCATCTGCCATCTGCTTGTTCCAAGGCCCGGGGCATTCTCAGCTACTAGTATTGCCACAAGTGTTGCTGCCAGTTTGTGACCACAGCCTGGAAGAGGAGAGAACGGAGCCTGTGGTTGGCAGGCTGCCAGCCCTCCTCCAGCCCACCTGCCACCCTGCCTGGGTGACTGAAACTGCTTCTACCTTAAGCTCCGGCCCTAAGTATCAGGGAGGGGCACCGCCCTCTGGGAGGTGACAGGAGCCCTTTGCATTGGCCTTGGCATTTCCTTTCACCCACTTTCCAGGAACAGCCTGTCTGGAGGTGGCAGGAAAACAGCAGAGGTGGGGCGGACAGTGGCCAATGGCACAGGTAGGTCGGCGGAATTCTCTCTAGCTGTTACATCACCCGATGACTCCCAGATAGTACCTTCTAACCCACTTGATAGCTGTTTCAGGACAAGTGGACCACGGCCAGTAAAGTCCTGGCATCTCCCAAAGTGGATATGGACCTGTTTCCAGACCTCCATAACCGAGCTACCTGCGTACCGAGACCAACTTTCACAGCACCGAGAGATCAATCTAAGTTCACCACCAGCAGGGAAGCTGGGGCAGAGGGCACACAGCACAGCCAAGCTGTGTGCACAGCTGATGTGTGCACAGAGAGCCCTTTGAAACCACTGTACAACACCCTTTTTAACAAGGCGTTGAAGATCAAGAGTGGAGCTCCACAGCTTTGCTGAATCCTGTCACCTGCCAGGGCCTTTTCTGAGCACTTCCACAAGCTTACACATGTGTAGAGAAAGGCACAGGTACATATCTAGTCACACATTGGCATACAGACTCATGTGAAAGCACACACAGACACATACCTCACTGATGCGCGCACACACACACACACACACACACAATCTACCCTCCTCCCCTCTTCAATTGCACAGAATATATACAGATACGGCCAGGCCCATCTCAGCTTTCTATCACCACCCAGGCATACATAACCACTCATGACCGAAGCCTCAACAGTTTCAAAGCCCCCACCCCAAAGCCACATTCCTTTTCCATCTCTCTGGCTCCCTGGTCTCCTCACTCCCTTCAGACTCTGGGTGGGAGGCAGGGGTTGAGGGAAAAAGGCCTTTGTCTGGGTTTAGCCAACAGACACTGTCAGCGGCTAATCCTGCAAGGCAGTTACCTCTTTACTTTCGGAACTTCGGAAATGTGAAACTACTTCTCTTTCTCTCCCTCTATTGCCTTCACTCCGTCCATCCCATTTTTCTTTCCTTTCTTTTCTTTTCTTTTTTTTTTTTTTTCAGTTGGGGTCTGGCTATGTTGCCCAAACTGGTATGGCATTCCTGCCCACTCTTGATCCTTCCACTGAAGCCTCCTGCACCATGGAGTGCCAGCTGGCCCCCGGAGTTTTAAAACAGCGCTATACAGAGAAGCGGACCATGCCCTGCTCCTGCTTCTCTGTTTTGCCTGACAGCATGAGGTTCCAGGCAGAGCGGTGGCACCCCCACACAGTTAAAAAGAATGCCAAGGTGGAATGACTCAGCTCCCCTGCTCAGAATGGGCGTCTGTGTGTGCCCTTGTTTTGGTCTCTTAATCAAACTTATTTTTATTTTGTGTGTATGTGGTGTTTGCCTATGTGTGTGTCCACATACCACTTGCATGCCTGATGCCCTTGAAGGCTGGAAGAGGATGTAGGAACCCCTGAAGCCAGAGTTGTGGTTGTGTGGCACCACGTGGCTGCTGGGGGTGAACCTGGGCCCTCCGAAAAAGCAGCCAGTGCTCCTGACTGCGGAGACATCACTCCAAGCCTCCTTCTTTCTTTATTTCTTTTTTTTTTTTCCCTTTCTCTGCCCAAGAGACTGCTGGGTGACAATTCTAACTGTCCATGACTTAAGCTCAGCCTGTTACCTTTCCCCCGACAACTATTTCCATGCTTGAGTGTGTGGTGTGTGTGTGTGTGTGTGTGTGTGTGTGTGTTATGTGTGTATGTGTGTGGTGTGTATGTTTGTGTGGTGTGTATGTATGCATGTATGTGGGTGTGTATGTGGGTGTGTGTGGTGTGTGGCTGCCTGTAGGGTAGGGTGGGGCGCTCTGCCTTTCTGTGTCCTGTCAGTGGCTGACTCAGCACCTGATTGCCAGCAATAACCCCTTATTATAATGGCTCACAGAAATCATTAAATCTTTCAGCCTGCTCACCTCTTCTCTCCTCAATGCCTCCTGTGACCTGTGTGTTATGTGAAGTATGACATACAATTTGAGTCTTTTTTTAAGTAGGTGCATATACGCATGCGTGAAGCTGTCCATGGAGACCAGAGACATTGGTTTCCTGGGAGCTTGAGTTATAGATAATTGTAGCTGCCTGACGTGGGTTCTAGGAACTATTCAGTCCCCCGAAAGAGCAGAAAATGCTCTTAACTATTGAGTCATCTCTTCAGCCCCTAACCTGAGTCTGTTAGTTTTTGTTTGTTGTTTTGTTTTTGTTTTTCAAGACAGGGTTTCTTTGTGTAGCCCTGGTTGTCCTGGAACTCACTCTGTAGAGCAGGCTGGCCTTGAACTCAGAGAAACACCTGCTTCTGCCACCCAAGTGTGGGGATTGAAGGTGTGAGCCACCGCCGCCCTGCCTAACTTGAGTTTGATAGATATCAATAGACTGGAATGGATTGGGGACATGGCTCAGAGGGTAATAGTATTTGTCATGCAAGCCTGATGACCTGAAGTGGGATTCCCCAGAAGCCACATAAAAAGCTACATAGATGAATGTTGGGCCTGTGAGTGGGTAAAGACACTTGTGGCCCATGCCAATGACTTCAGTCTCCTGGGATCCATATGGAAGAAGGAGAGAACAGAGAACAAACTATCGAAAGTTGTCTCTGCTATGTATATATATACGCAAATAAATAAATGTAATTAAAAACAAAAGCTGACAGCACACATCTGTAATCCCAGCATTTAAGCTGTGGCTAGATATGAGACAGAGGCAGGAGGATAACCCAGAAGCAGAAGCTTGAGGAGAAGCAGCAGAAATGCCAAGAGAGATCCTGCCGCAAAATAAAATGGAGAGCAAGGACTGCCTCCTTAAAGTTGTCTTACGACACCCACCTGACTGCTGAGATATACGTGTGGGTCCTCATGACACTTCAAAAATTATAGTGTAATGAAGAGCTTACAGTTGGTGTGGTGTAGACAGTTGGTGTACAGATGACACCAGGGGTAAAGTCAATGGCACTGGCACTGCTTGTGAATCTGTTGACAGTCAGTTCATTCTGACAATGTGGAAAGACACAAACACATTGGTCTATGTTAATGGCCCAGTGGCTCATGATTAGCCTAAACTGGATCTACCCTAAGCTGTTTTCTTCCAGCCGCAAACCTTCTCCCTACACAGAGGACCCCAAGGGCTCTGCTGAGACGGGTATCCCAGCCGTCCAAGCTTCAGGATTCCTGAGTGAGTGAGTGTGTGAGCCTGCGTGCAGGATGACCAAATCTCTGGCTTCCTCTCCCTGCCCCTGCATGGGACATTTAGCGCCAGCAGTGTCCCTGGTTCATTTTTCTCTTGGCCTTCCCCAAGCCACCAGAGATGGGAGAACCTCAGATGGCCACTGCTTCAGGAAACTGGTTCTGGCCTCTCCCAGTTCTGTTCTTACAGCCAATGGAAAAGCCATGGGTGCTTCTGGATCATTTCTACACCCTTCCCCCAAGGCCAACATCTCCTCAATGCACCCAGCCCTCAAGCCTTCGTTTGAGCTCTTCCCCCAGTTTACAAGCCTTCCTCACTTCCTCCAGCCCTCCCCAGTTCCCTCTCCTCAGTGATGTGTTCCTGTACCTCCTTGCTCTTCTTTGGCCAATCCTCTAGGTAGAGAAAAATCTCTTTGAGTGCCCTTCGCATGCATGCACAGCTTTATTGAGTGAGGGACTTTGCACAGGTGCCTGTGACCTTTACCCTGTTCTCCATTGGGTTGTCTCTCCCTGGCATTCCTTTTCTCTGGGCCTTAGGCAATCTGTGCTCCAGTGGCTGATAACCTCCAGGTCAGTAAGAGCCAGGATCTCTGCTCTGTACACATAGGATCCTTGTGTGAGAGCTCTGAGGACCCCCAGTGTTCTCTGGAGGCATTGCCACCCTTTGCAAATTCATCCTTTTATAGAAGAGCCACCTCCTCCCCTCCTCCCAGAACTCCAGGGTCACACAAGGTTGTGCAGTTGTATGGAGTTGATTCTTCAGTCCCCTCTCTTTCCCTCTGGTCCCCTTTCAGGAGCTTGGTTGTTCCCATTCTGAAGTTCTTAGCTGAAGAGACATCTCATCGGTTTTTTTTTTTCTTTTTTAAAAATTTATTTATTTTTATTTTATGTGCATTGGTGTTTTACCTGCATGTGTGCCTGAGTGAGGGTGTCAGGTCTCCTGGAATAGGGGTTACAGACAGTTGTGAGTTGCCATGTGGATGCTGGGAAATTGAACCCAAGTTGTCTGGAAGAGCATCCTTTGGAAGAGCAATCAGTGCTCTTAACTGCAAAGCCATCTCCCCAGCCACTCTCATCAGTTTCTCAAGCTTTAGTTCAGCCAGCACTATTAGGAGGCCCCCTTGATCACTACCCAAGGCTAGCCCCTCTTCTCGTTTATACTCTTTAGTAGTGGTCTTGGGCTGGCTAGATCGCTCAGGAGGAGAAAGCCCTTACTGCACAAACCTGAACATGTCAGTTCCATCCCCAGCACCTCTGAGGGAAGGTGAAACCTGACTCCTGAAAGTTGTCGTCTGGCTACCACCCTCATGCCGTGGACACCTTCATGGACCCTCCCTGAATAATAACAATAAATAAAATAAAATAAAATTGAAATAAAAATAACAATCTTTATACTAACTGGAAAGGGTCATTCTCTCACTTTGTAACTCCTCTTCACCCTCCCATCCTTATGTAAACTTGGGAGAGGGGCCTGTTTCGTCCCCACACCTCCAGCACCTAGGCTGAGCACAAAGATGGCATTAATGTGGCTCACCTGTATTTCCTGGGGGACAAAGAGCCCAAGATCAAAGATGATCTGCTTTTCTTTCGTGTTGAAAGCCACAGATCATAGACACTCTCTGGTGACTGCTAGGGAGATGGAAGAAACAGAATCAAGACACTTCTTTCTCACTTTCTCTAAGTGGGGATGGAGTTGAGCTGTCGGCATCAACTCTCAGGGATGCCTGAGACTCGCCCCAGGAATGTCAGAGCCAA